GGCAGCTCCTCCCGCGGGGGCTGGGGGCAGGCACCCCGTGTCCTTGGGGCAGCTCCTCCCGCGGGGGCCGGGTCAGGCACCCCGTGTCCTTGGGGCAGCTCCTCCCGCGGGGGCCGACCCGCCCCGGCACTCCCCGGCACCTCGGGATTCCCACGAGTGCGCCGAGTTCCGCCTTTAGCAATGGCGTCCGAATGCTTTTGGCTTTTTTCCTCTTTTCCCTCTCCCTATTTTTTTAGTTGGATGCTGATAACTATGAGACTGATCCATGCTTGAAAGAGATTCGGAGAGCAGAAAATTATTCTTGGATGGATATAGTGACCATACATAAAGACAAGCTTCCAAATTATGAGGAAAAGGTAGGCGAAACTTTGCTTTCAGTGCGGGTTTCCGAGCCGTCTGCCGCTGGAGCGTGTGGCCAGCGTGTGATACCTGCACAGCCCAGCGGGACACAGGGATGAGGCTTCCACGTCTAAAATACATCCTGTACCGAAGTCCTGAGCATTAAAAAAGAACTTTTGATATTATTTTAAAGATATCAGAGGTCTTTTGCTTCTGTAGATTGCCTTCAAAGGTTTTGAGGATCATTTCCATCACTGTCATTTCAAAACTAAGATTCCTACCAGGAGAGTTCTGCCAATGCTGACCTGTCCTCAGAGAGCCTCTCTGGGATGAACACAAGTGGCTGCCAGCTGGGTCTGGGCTTTGAAGGCTTTTCCGTCCTAATGGCTGCTTGCATAATGTGTCTTTTTAAAGTGAGTGTTAACCCCATGGAATTGGAGGGATACATCCTTTGTATAAGACTTTTTTACCTTGGGGAGCTTGTACTTTGATAATTTCATAGCAGTTTAACACTGTTCAGGTGAGCCTCCTAGAAGGAACTTTCTCATCCCAGCCTCCAGGTGCTGCTGGCTGGCTGCTCTGCCTTGAGGACAGCAACCCAATGACACTTTCATATTTTTATTAAATTTCCATTTACCAGTTTATTTTAAGCCCATTGTGTTCTAGTGGTTTTGTCTTGGTGAGAAGGTGAATTAGGTAGTAACTCATTAGGTAGATGGCCTGGGTAGGTTCTATCTGATAGAAAGATGGGCCAGTCATTACAAGACATAGGGACTTTTGTCCATCCTCCTGTGCTGGATCACTTCTGGCTCAAGAACATCTGCACAAGTGTGGCTAAATATCATCCAGACCTGAGCAGGTGATGATGGTACCTGGCACTGCACTGCTCACTGTGCACTAAACCTCTTGGGTCTCTGTTAACTGAACTTGTAAAATGTGGTTTATGTTCTGTGCACGTACGAAGAATTTGCCATTCCAGAAAAAAGAGAATGTTTCTGCCACTGTCTCG